CCAAAAACTGAAGTAGTACCAAATGACTTGGTGCTAAGGTGGTGGTTAATGGCTTGGTACTGGGTAGAAGAGTGAAAAATCAGTTTCTTTGGCAGCTCCAGCACTGACCTCTATAACTGGTATTATATTTCTGTGCTTTATGTCTTTTGCCTGAGAGCAGAAAAAGATCAATGCCTAGAAATGCCTTTCTTCCTTGCTAGGCAGCTGCTCCAGTGGCAGCTTCAGAACTGTGCTCGTGTCTGTAGGCAAGGAGTGGGAACTGTTCACAAGCTCCTGCTGCATTCAGTGCCTGTAACAAACACTGCGCATACGCTTTCAGTGCAAAGGAGTGACCTCCATCTTGTGAAGCAGTTCTCAGTCACGTGCTCTTTATCACTCATTCCATAAACCACATTTTTTTGCTGAGATTCCCTAACTTTTGAAGCAATATGGTCTTTTTCATACACAATGAAGACCTATGAATACATCAGTCAAATTAGTAGCTCCTTTACAACTGTGGACAGGTTTTATACTCCAATGAGTTGACTCAGCCACAAATTAAAATACAAGAAATCAAGATTTATATAGTTATTTGAGAATTTTTAATTATTTTCCTTTCTTTTTTTTTGCCACAGGATTAAGATGCTATAGTAAAATTCAGTGACTAGCATTTACAGTAACTCACGAAGTATCAAGTCTTTCTATGCTAAAATCAGATTTTTTCTTCCGAAGAAGACATTCAGTTGCAGCTGAGGTTGTTCTTCTCTTTACACAACTGTGCATGCAGAAACACAAGGACTCCTTTGTCTGAAACACTGAACTCCTTTGCAGAGAACATGTGAATATTAGACAGGTATTGAATGCACAATTGCTATATATGCCCCGTATAATTGCAGTTGCACTATGCCGTAATTGCCCACGAGTTATGCAACTATAGTTATTCTACTATGTCGCAAAGTATGGCCTCTTTTTCTCTGAGAAGATTATTGCAAGCAGTTTTTATTTTCTTTTAAATATTTGGACTGAACAAAGAAGAATTTTAGTTGTGAATTGTGAATTTTCATATAGAGTTTGAATTATTTTTCTCCTTGTAACATTGTTTTTCTCTGTCAGAAAAAAAGCCTACACAAACAGATGAATGACTGGACATATCTACTGAAAACAGAGGCTTGGTTTGCAGAATTTTTGAAACAGCAATAAAGAAGTGTGGATCTAATTTTTTGTGGTTTGCAAAAGTAAAATAGTATTTTTAATCAAAGTAGTCATTAATGCTTTTATAGAAACTGAGATTATGAACAAACTTCCCTATATATTATGCGAAAATGCTGTATCATTCCTAACATCTTATCCATTTCTAAAATAGAAAAGTTTATTATTTTCACAGCTTTGCCGTTCAAAGACAAGCTCCCTCTGTCCAATTCCAGCTATTAAGAGATAGCTCCCTCCTCTGGAGCACTTTATACTTGCACTGCAAACATAGCACTGTGGAATCTGAAAAATTACTGAATTCACTCATCTCTTTTGAAGTCCCTTTGACCTATAGCACAAAATCAAAGATATTTTGAATTGACTGAATATAGAAATAAAGTCAGGGGCGTATGGATTGATGCTGTCACAGGAAACAATTTCTGTGTAACTGCTGCTGTCACTGCCAAGTTCCTCAGGCATTATCATAGCCCTGGAACCTTAGAGGGACCCAAGAGCTGGGTGACCCCTGGGCTTTGCTTGAAGCCTCATAAGACACCTTATTTGTTTTGTTGTTGTTGATTTTTTATAATGGTTGTCACACTGATATATATAGGCGTACTGAATGACCAGTTTTCTTTTATATGATTATATACCACATTTAAAATGTTTCAAGATTGTTGTAGATTGAACTTCTGTAAGACAAATAGGTTTAACTTCTGTGCATTTGCAACTAAAAATTAAGCATGTTTCCCCAGCCAAAACAAAACACATGTTTTGGGAATTTGAATATTCTCTGTGGAAGGAACTGCATTTTGCTTTACGAACAGGTGTTTCTGAAGGTGGATCACAGAGCAAAAGATGGAAGAAAAAATAGAAGGTAGTGTAATTTCTATGAAAGACTTCTGAGCAGGGACACTTTCTGATTTATTGATTCCAGTCCTCCTTAGAAAAATAGGACTAAAGTATGTCTCTGTAAACAGAAATGCAACAAAGAAGCTTGTCTTCATTACCACTTTTTTTCCTCATGGAAACCTGAATTTTGTCTCGTTTCTTGCATGAAAAGGAAAACATGATTACCATACAAATTAATTGTATCACTAAATTAACCGAGCTTTTAAAACTTGATTGCCACATAAAGCTGCATATTTTACTGCCAAAACATATGCATGCAAACTTTTATTTGTAAGATTTAATACTTCTTAATCTATTTAGTGATTAACAAAGCAATTTAAGGAAATAATTAGTCCCATAAGCAATAGAATTTAAGAAGTCTGATTCAAATTTGATTGACATTGGCCAACAGGATCAAAAATTATTAGAAGGGGCTGACAGACAGACTGACTTTCAAACAGCCAGACATCACGATGGGTCTTGCACATCTTGTTTTCCTCAAGAAGTGGGGATTGAAAAGGACACTGTGGATCAGAACACAATCTTAAATGTTTAGTAATATACTAAAAGCTTAGAAATTAATGTTTAAGATTACTGTATAATTTAAAACTTAGATTAGATAAGCAAGGAATAAATTACAAATAGCTGAAGTTTGCTCAGTCCATACGATATGGTCTCCCACTAACACAGCTATAATGGTACCAGTTTTGCCTAGGGTTTATTGCATGAACAGCTTTGCCAACATAATACTTAGAGGGTTTTTGCAGAACAAGTACTACTCCCATAGGAGCAAAACCCTTCAAATGTAGAAGCAGCCAATTATCCATTTTACAGGTTTCCTTTGCCATATATTATGTGTAATATAAAACAGAAAGCGAGACTGAAATATAAAATAAGGTGCTAATTTTCTGCAGTTTTTCTAGTGAAATGACACTATTCAATACAGAAACAAACAAGTAATATTTCCATTTCACTTAAACTAGAAACCAGAAGTCTTTTCTAGAATAGAGGCAAGCTATGGGTTTTTTTTTCCTGACTTATTATTTTATCAGCATGTGGCTGGTTATTCATTTCCTGAGGAAAAAACAATAATCAATGCCTGCCAGCATATGCTTTTCATTTAATTAGGAACATAGGACTGGAAAGAACCACCTAGGTCATCAAGTCCAGTCTCTAATTAAGCGCTCTTCAAAAATATTGATTAATCAAAGTTGCATAAATGTAGTAGGTTTTATAACACTGTACTCCTCTGCAGAGATTGTAAGTGATCTTCTGCTTTAACCTTTGTATAGTATTTTTTATACCTTTCCAGCACTTTTTTTCATATCTGTTATCTACCTGTTCTGGCAAAGACAAAACACTTACTACAGGACAGAGCTCTGCTTATGCAGACCGGTTGACCTGGGCATATAGAGACGTATTTTACATAAATTAATCCTACCTTCTCCCTGCCTTTGCTCTCAGAGAACCCTACTATGCTATTTCTTTTCACTTACCAGTTGATTTTGCAGAAAATCTGCAGGGACTTAAGGGACTTTTGAAATCTTGAGTCTCTAATAAGTTCAGTTGACATTAGCTAAGTATTTAAAATCCAATTACTTCACATACAAAAAAAGCCCCACATTAAGTATTAAGGAAAACATTTACATGAAATGATCCATCATGCTAATAGTTACGAACCAGATATCTAAGCTATACCCCAAACCCAATTCATCTATTTGTAAAGATTTTTTAACATAAAGAGTGACTATTATTTTCAATGCAAAGAGGTCATCATACAGACATTTGATTTTCAGTAATTTTATATGACACAAATCTTTACAGTGTTTTGAGCTGGAAATGAACAGCACTTGATCTATAATTATTAGTATATCTTTGTGTTTATTTTCATACTTCATGTGCCTCAGTCAATTGAAGAAACTGGCCATATCTAAAAAGATAAATGGATTCAGTGCTAACAAATCCATTAATGTGTTCTCCCTGTATTTAATGTATTCTTGACTAGAAAAGATGATGCTGCATTTGGGAATACGCATTTTAAACATCAACTGTTAAAGTAATTTTGACTAAAGGATAGTACATTTATGTTTTTTAACTGGAAAGTAACTGCAATTGATTTTGTCATATTAGAAGGAATACATTACATTACCAGAAACATGATATGTAAAATACGAATTTATAGGGAAATAAGGGAAAGCCAATTTCTTTAATCATTAGTATTTGACATTAATTTCTCTCATTTTGCTTAAATGAAGAGCCTGTAATTTAAGTCAGACACACTTCTATGGGCTGACCTGTAGAAATACGAAAACAGAATTTTTCAGATACAACAGCACTGGAGACTGTAGCCTGGAGCCTCTCTCCTATTGTTTCTGCAGCCTGCAGTCCAAGTCCTTAAATGGCATTTTATGCACTCAGCTGCCAAATCTCAGAGGGCTTGGTGTATTTATTACAGCCTGGACAATTGCAAACTGTTTAGTTTTAAATTGCCAGAAGGCTCTAGCTGGCATCTGGATGGAGAAAAGCTTGGGATCGCTACCTGTCCTGCAAGTCCTTTCCTCAGAGGCAGGAAGGTAAGAAAGGGCTCAACATACACTATTTTGAATCCCATTCCTGGGGCTGATTCACCGTGGGGCCTAGCAACCTTAAATACTTCGAATAAAACTCTCATCCCCAGCAACTTTTGCCTGAAGAGGCGACACTAAAGCTCACTCGAAGGGCGGCGAAGGAACCGACGGCTCCAGCTCTAGCAAACGCCTCAGGAGCGCCGCGCAGCCCCGCCCATTGGGTTTTGGCGCCAAAAGCGCCTCCGCCGGTCTGCCGCGCATGCGCCCTGGCACGTAACCGCCGCCTGCTGACCGCTCTCCTTAGCCGACCCGCCCGGGAGCTCGCGAGACCTGGGGTTCTCGCGGCGCTTCCCCGGCGCGCGGCCCGCCCGGCCCCGCCGCTCGCGGGGGCAGGAAGCGGAGGCGGCGCGGGGGGCTGGGAGCGCCGTTCCCTCCCTCAGGTGTGCGCGGGAGGCGGCGCGGACCTGTCTTCCCCTGAGAAGGCGGGCGAGAAGCCCTCTTCGCCCCGCTTCCTGCCGGCGGGAGGGGGAGAGCTTCCCCCCTCGGTGCCAGCACGCCTCCGGGGCTGCTCTGCCGGTGTGAGGGGAGCGGGGCCTCCGTGGCGCCTGGCAGGTTGTAGCTGTGGAGGTCTGGCCCTGGAGATCCTGGCGAGCTCCTTCACTGTCCTCTTTCGACTCCCTCAGCCTCCGTGAGAGTTTCGCAGCCCGCAGGTAGGGAGCTCACTTCCGAAGGTCAGTGTAGACGGAGCTGCTTGGGGTCTTCTCTCATTACTAAAGCCGTCTGAGAAACAACTTTCCTTTAAAAAAGAGCTGTTCCTGAAGCCTTAGGAACGCAGCCGTGGTGAGAGCGGGTCATCCTAAACACGGTTGAGCTGATGTGCTCTGGAATTAGATTAATTTGAAGAGCCAGAAAAGAGGAATCCTCCTCCAGACTGCGTTTCTAAGTGGGTAAGCTGTAAATCAGAGGAATTCTCACCCCACCTCCCCGTAGTCTTTGATGATCAAGGACGTGAGTGGCAAACAGCTGGCTTGGTAAGTGCTTTGGTTAGAAATCCATCTCTTTTGTTTTATTCCTGTGACCCGTGCCTGCCACTCCCAGGTAACCGGTGAGTTGAAACACGACAAGCCCTTTTTTTACTGGGCCTGGTGATGCTGGATTGTGTCATCTCTCTGTGTAGTATCTGCTACTTAATTTGTACAATGCTAATTTTTGGGCTTGGCAAATCTTTTTCTGGAAAAGCTGTAGACATGCTGTATATAACTGATGTTTATCTGCTTCTGTGGCAGCCTTTTCTTCTCTCTGCTTCTCTTTAAATGCTTTTGTTATTTCCTGCAGGAGGGAAAAAAACTTATCTGTGGCCATGATAGATCCTTTAGAGAACAACTTGTTTGATCTTCCTGATTATGAGAATACAGAAGATGAAATGTTCCCACCTCTTCCACCTCCTGCCTCTCCAGGAAGAGATGATGTTGAATGGGCTCAAGCTAATGGAGGTGAACACCTGTGACCCCTAAAGATCCCATTTTGCAGTATAGACAATGAAATGCTGTGAAATCAGTATTACTGGTGTTGTACTTCACTATCTTGAGTTTAGCATAAAAATAGTCTTGTATAGTTAAGAAAGCAGTTTGTAAATTTAAATTGTTATCGATTCTACGCTTCCAGGCTTGTGGGAAAAGTTTATTTAGATTCTGTGAAAATATGCATACAAGTGAGTCTTTATAAAATTCAAGCTTTTCTGACAAAATGTTGGTAAAGATAATCATACAGCGGTGATCTATAGTTACCCTTTATGACTTGGATTTCAGAAGTGGTAAGAGTGTTGAATGTAGTATTCCAGGGAGATGTTCATAGATTTTGTAGAGTATATGACCTAGGAAAAATCCAAGACACTTCAGGACAGTAAAACTTAATTATTTGTATTTGAAAAGATCTTACTGTATACTGAACAAGCTAATAGAAAGTATAAAAATTTTATTTTAACTATTATTTACTTCTACTCATTTGCCTATAGTGTTAAACATATGTTTTCATTGATCCCTGCTCTGTCTGTTCACTAGAAAACAGGATTTTCAGTAGATTTAATTCCTTGCTATATGAAAAGGAGAACTTCTGAATTCCTGGTGTTGAAAGTAACAAAAAGTAAACCAAGAAATCAGTATGATAACTAATTGCTAGCTCTGAGATGAGATGGGCAGTGGTGCCTTGTCTGTTGCAGTCAAATAATATATACTGGCCCTAATCAAAAAGTGTATGGAATTTAGTTCTTGAAAGACACATTGATTGTGGTCACACATTGCCTCTTTCTCTATTTTTTGAAGGCAGTGCTGGTGGTTTAGGTCTGTCTTTCAGATCTATAAGTGGAAGTTTTGGGACACACCTATCAAGTTATGTTTATTGATAATTTGAGTTTCTTAACTCTTAGAACATCATCTACTCTCCATACGTTTCTCATCAGAAATACAATATAAAAGTTCTAAAATTAGGAAATTTCCCTTTCAAGGAGCCTACTTTGCTAAAAAAGTTGGTTCCTCAGTATATTTTGAAGAGATGGATTTATTTCCAATCTCTCTTGTGGGAAAAGCAAGGTAAAATATGCAGACATTTGTTTGGAGTACTATACCTGCAATGGAATACTTGTGATGCTGCCTTTTTGATAGGGTAGAAAGTTAAAATTTATATGACCAAATTCTAGTTCATGTCAGTTGCATTACATGCTTAAAATACGTTATTTTCTTTACTGGAACTAGATGGAAACCAGCAGTCACAAACAAAGGATTCTGCTGTAACTACACGGAAAGCAGTTAAAAGACCAATGCCTAAACTAGATGCCCAGAGGTAACTTTTTACAGAATATTTCTTTTTGTGATGAATTTGGTATATGGCTGTGGGAGAGTGATTAAGGTTACTGTGATCCCTGCTTGGTCATACAAGTTAAAGATCAAGAGTTTTGGAGCTGAAAGTGCCTCTTGCATGCTGTATTGCAACCTTTCTATTCCTTGCCTTACCTGTATAATGGTATTATTAGTTTAACTTTCTTGAAGTCTCCTTGGAACTTAGAACATGACTAATATTTTGTGAAGAGATATTTATTATTTATACATAGGACTCTTCCAGCTAGATCTTCTTTATTTTGCTTCAGACATAGTACCGTACATTTCTTTCTGTAATTAAAGTCTGCTTCAAAATAAAACCTCAATACAATGGTGACTGTAAGGCACTACCTAAAGTACCCTTACACCTGACTTTTGTACAAACTGGATAAACTCTGTATAAAGGATTTTAATATTTTCTTTTCTGTTATCGCTAAAGCTGGTGTAAGTTCTTTATAAGCAATGGAAAGAATGTGAGTTTTCAGTTTCTTCCATTTTAAATACACTGATGAAGTTAGTCATTGATACCACAGGTGGATGCTCTGGTCACGCATCTAACTAGTTTTACTTGGCCAATATAGATACTAGAACTGACCATTCAGTTTTCTTTCCATGTGATCAAAAGCAAAAAGCTCTTTGGACTAGGAATACGTGTATGGTGAATTAAAAAAAAAAAAAAAAGTCTTGGGACTTGCAGCAGTCTTTATCTTATTTTGTGCATTTTCTTAATGACTTTTAAGTCTGTACATCTTTCAAATAGAGCTCTGTAGCTTTAGGCTATTTAAAGGAATGTGAGGTTTTTTTGTTTGTGTGCTGGTGTTTCCTTTTTGGGGGGTGGGAGTGGTGAGGTAGTTGTTTTTATTAATTAGAAGAAGAAAGTATGGGTTTCAAATAACTTCACCCATTTCCTATTACCAGGTTAGTTTCAGAAAGAGGACTTCCGGCACTAAGACACATGTTTGATAACGTAAAGTTCAAGGGTAAAGGGCATGAGGTAAGACATAGTGAGCTTTTGTTTTGTTTCCTGGGAGGTTAATCTAGATTTGATAGATTGCTGCCTACCTGATATGCGCTCTGGTTAGCCAGCTTTCTAGCAGTATTTGAACGTAGCCTGAAGGGGTTTGTAGTCATAAATTTAAAAAAACAAACATGAATGTTTTAACAAAATCCCTGTTTTGAATTTAAAACTATTTTCCTCTACTCCAAAACTACAATATCATGTCTGTGACTCTTTTTGTATCGTCCATAGAAAGAGGTTTTAGAAATTGGAGCAGGCTAGTAAGACTGCCTACTGCGTCTGGAATGCCTTCACCATCTCATTTCATGATCAGTTTCCTCTGTTAGTGAAAATATTCTGGCAGTTGTGACACCTCTACCCCAAACTGTCTCATTGTTTTGGATACACTTAAACATACAAAGCTTATTTTTCTTTAAATATCATTAGACTATTGGCACATTTGCAAAGACACCTGTGCGTCTCTGGTTTAAGAGAACATTCATGGTATAAATTTCCTATTTACAATTGGGGCCATAAAGAAACTAGGCAGTACTACTGAGCTGAGAAAAAATCTTCACTAGATAAGGTTCTTTAGATGTAAATTTTTCTGTGTGTTCTAAACATCAAAATAAAAACCAGCTGTGCCCCTTTGGATTTTTTTTTTCTTTTTCAGTCTGCGTTCAGACCTAGGTGGCTTCAGGGCAACTTCACAGAAGCCCATTGGATGTTTTACAGTATATGCAAATGCTCTTCCTGAACTCGGATGGCTATTCTTCTCATAGCTTGCAATTGCACTTACAGACTTGATTGTGGGAGGAAAGGTTACCCACACATTCATATTAAATTTTCAAGAGACTTTCAAGCTGCAGATGCTTAATGTTTTCAGAAATGTTACTGTCCTTTTTCCCTCTGCAGTCTACTCAGTCAGCTTTTACTAGCTGGATGTCTTGGTTTATGCCCTAGGCAGAGGACCTGAAGACACTCATACGACATATGGAACACTGGGCTCATAGACTATTTCCAAAATTGCAGTTTGAGGATTTTATTGACAGAGTAGAGTGTTTGGGAAACAAAAAGGAAGTTCAGGTATGTGTTGTTCCTGTCAGTTTCTCTTTATGCAGTACTGAATAGTCCAAGAGGTAGGTTTAGGAGAGCAATTATGCAACAAAATAAGACTTAATTTGTGGATACTGCTAAGGAGTATAATGTTATTTAAATTAATTTCTCTCTTTTTAAAAATAGCTCTTTCCAGTATTTAAGGTTACATTTAACCTTTCTTTATTTGAATTACTACTTCAGAGAATTGGCTTTGATTTCAGCACATCTTTAACCAAAGTAATTTGCTTTAGAGTGCTGGCACTGGTTGATTTTTGGGGGTGGGTTTGTTTTTTAACGTTTCAACCTGCAAAGAAGACTTATGAAGAATGCTGCTTCATCTGGCTAGGTGATAGACGAATGACTAGCAAAACGATCCACAGCATTACAAGTTGTTGGTCAAACAGACGTGTAGTGAAAGGAGTATTTATTTCAGAGTAATTAAGTGTAAAGAGAAATTGAGAGTAGTATTAAAAGCATAGCAGTGTTGTACAAAAGATTTTGTTACAGATGAAATATCAGTATTTTAATCTCTCACTTGCAGACCTGCCTAAAGCGGATTAGACTTGATCTTCCTATTTTACATGAAGACTTCGCAAGTAATGAAGGTATGCTCATTATGCTGTTTGTTCAGTAGTTCAGTGCTTAAAATTACTTTATGTCCCCTCCTACTGACCAGAAATTAATGATCATGGTATGTTTTTCAAATGTAGAAGAAATTGTTGAGTGGTCCTCTATTTTAAAACCAAGCTTCTGTGAGACTTACAATTACAAAACAGAACTGGTACTGGGACTAAAATGCTACATATATATAAAAAAAAGTGCATGGTATTATTAATGGGTATTATTACCAGCATTGTTAGAAATATTCTTCAAAAAAACCCCCAAAACTGCAATTACTAAATGAACATACTGGTTTGTATTGTACTCTTATGAGGTGCAGTCTGAAGAGCTCTTGGATCTTATTAATGCAGAAATCAGAGACTCATTATAGTGTTTATACTACAAGCTGTTACAGTACAGTCAGGGTGTGGTGTCCTTTATAGGGAAAGTATTTATTAATGCTTGTGGGCACTATTATGTCTGTCAGTCTTGGCATATAGCTACTATTGAGTATTTGTTCTTCCAATATCAAAATCCAGTCACTTAACAAGTAGATAATTCAAGAGTCTCTTCCAATCAGATGATGTTTTTAGATAGACTAGAAATGAACTTTTTTTTTTTTAATAAAAAGAGGGAGTAGAGTTCAGCTCATAGTTTGAAAGAAACTTTATTAGCAGAAATGAGACGATTTCATAGTCGTTCCTAAGGTCCGTTGCAGGTGTTCACGCTTTCACTGTGGGTCTCTTGAAACAATTACCTACCCATTGCCCGGTGTGTCTTCATGTGAATCTCAGCCTCCCCCCAAGCCAGTGCTTGGGAAAGGTGTTCTGGTGGATGAGTTAACCAGTGGTAAAACCTTGCCTCACCTGTGGGGATAACCTTTGGGCAGTTAGTGATGTGTGGCTGTCTTGACTGTTGGCTGCATTTGCTAGAAATGGAATGCAACCATAAGCAGCCACAAACAGAAAAGCAAATGGTTCCTGCCGACAGTGTCTGTAGAGTTATCAGATTTTTCTGTGCGATGGTTCCATACATTTGTATTTAAAGGTGGTGCTGATCTGTTCTTGAACGATGTTGGCGAGTGTACTGTTACAACTGGTCAGTCTTCAGTTGAAAAACTTGAGTAGGTATCTTGCCGTTTTGAAATAAAAACTCAAGCTAGAGTATTGCATTAAAAACCAAAACCTTGTTGTTGGCTAACTTCTCTATTTACAGGCTTAAAGTGCCGCAGAGGCACAAGCATACTTGGCCTTAGGCACTCTTGAAAGAGTGCTTTGCTTCTCTGTTGGGGGATGAAGTTTGTCTAACAGAGTTAGACTACGTCTATTTTGCATGTTTTAAAGTTGGCAAATGAGTAAATATTCCATAACAGTAGCACACTGAATTCAAAACTGACTATTCAGTGTCTATGTTCGAACCTCTGATTCCCATAACTAGTCCTGCCACTTACCAAAGGATGGTGTCATATTGGTAGGGGTGGGAAGAAAATGATCTGGCTGTTCTGTAAGGATTGCCTGAATTTACTGTCTGTTTTTAACCTTCAAGCACAGCTCATGATTGCTAACATAGTAGACAGAGGTATGCTTCTCTAAATTCAGGCATTTATTATTGTGCATTTGGGATCTCCGATAAGCATTTGTTGTATACTTTGAGTATCAGCTATGTGGATCTAGGCAGAAAATTGCCCATTAAAACTGAATTACGGAATGATCTTCAGCTGTCATAGAAATGCTTTTAAAATGACAGATACTTAGCAGTAGATCTCTCTGGGTTCAAAGTGTTGATTTCTGCCCCTCTTCCCCCTCCCAACCCCCTCATCTTTAACCAGATGGTGGAGGGGAAAGCAATGGACTGGATACAGCCACTGAAGATATACGTTCTGGCTCTGGAAACGCAGAAGAACTCAATTCTCTGTCTGGTACAACTCTCACGGAAGAGCAACAGCAGCGAATCAAGAAGAACAGGCAGTTGGCCTTGGAACGTAGGCAAGCAAAGATGCAGCGTAACAGCCAGTTGCAACACAACGGTAATTAACTCTGTAACTTAAGTGTTAATGTCAAGGTCGGTAGGCTGAGAAGCTTATACAACTGAGCTGCTGAGTCAGTTTAAAGGAAATGGTAGTGATTGCTTTTCTAGTAAGTAGCAAAATGTGTAACTCTCAATTTTAAACTGTGTTCCTTTAGTTAGACTCCTCCAAAGCTAAGTCAGAACTACTCTCCCTAGTTGTCACGTAAAGTTGTGATAGCTTTGGCTTGGATGAAATGAAACTCAACTTCCCAGTCATCTCTGGAGTTGGCTTTCCTGCAGACTGTGATTCTGGTGATAGAAACCGCAGTTAAACACAGCAACAGTGTTTTCTCATGGTAGGAAATTGTGGGTTGTTTTTTTGGTTTTCTTTTTTTTTTTTTTTTTCAACAGAGCTCTCCACTAATTACTTGGAAGAGGAGTTTAATACCCCAGTTACTCAGGATCCCACTGACCTTATTGAAGACACTCAAATTACCACAACCGAGGTTGCTGTTACAGAAGTTGAAGATGGAGATACAGAATTGGAATGTGCCAGTGAGGAGCAGTAACCCTTCCTTATACTTGTGAACAACTTCCTTGACTGAAACACCCCAAGGTTTTCAGTACTGTCATTCCATTGAAATGTTGCTGGCTTTTTGCACTCTGACTCTAGAAGCTTTGCAGAAGTCTTCCCCATGACGTGGGTATAGTGGGACAGAACTCTTCTCTTGAAACTGCAGATGAGCAACTCTGTACACCAGAAAACTGAACAAAGTTCTTCATCTGCATTTGAGACATCTTTTCCACCTCCTCCAACATTCTTTAGGAAATGTTAATGATTTTTTTACCTACTTTGAATTTAGTTTACAGTTGATGTCAAACTGAATTAACTGGGATATTGACAGGTGAAATTTCTATTAACGTTGTGTTGGGTTTTTTTAATAGAAGATATATACAATAGCAGGTGGTGCTATGTCTGAACTGGTGTCCTGGATTTTTTTTAAACTTGCTTATAAAGTTCTTGTAAGCTTTTTCTTATAAAACAGAAGCTATTAAATTTCAGAAGTCCCTCCAGCCTTCCCCATTCCTTGTGCTAGTCGGACATCTCTTCACAGACAAGTACATCCCCTTAGGGGAACGTGCTTTGGCTCTGATGAAATCAGTTACCTTCCTTTGGCTGAGTCTGTTCTCTGTCTCGAGGCTCTGTTTCATTCTCTTCTTACAGTCTTGTTTCTCCTTCTTCCACAACAGCTTTTCCCTTTTGCAGCATGATCAAGAATTGCCATAATGGTAAAGCCCTGAGCCTGCCCTCTCCCATAGCATAGGGGAGACTGTTGTTCGTAACAGAAACTGCATTTCTAGAAACTGAATTAAGACAAGCAGCACTTAGAGCAGATGAAATAAGTTCACGTCAACAGGTGTTATTTTATGCCAGATGTGCAGCTGGGGGATTTCAAGAAACAGAATTCTGTATCCTAGATTAGTGTGAAGGAGTTTGCTTTTTATATCCTTGCAGCTATGAGCTAAACTCACTAAACTTTAGTGGAAGATAGCCAACAGCTGTAGGAAATACTTGGGTTTTAAGAACTTAATTTATGGACAACATGGGAAAGTTACTTTTTGAATGATAGTTAAAAGAATTCACCACACAGTCTTTAGTCTGGAAGATGAGACTTATGTATAAAATCTTGTGAAAACTCATACATGTTCATAACCAGATAAAAATAATTTTTATTTAAAATAGACATTTAGTTTCTTAAAAGGACTCTTGAATATTTAAAATAGACTGCTTTTTTAAAAAAGAAAAATCATACAAAGTGAATAGGAGCAGAACATCAAGAAGCAGATATTGCTAGGTTGTAGTTCAAGTTCTAATGTCAGCTGAAACATCTAGTAGTGCCAAATCCTTAATCTCCTCCAGCAGCTGGTATAAGCTTGCTCCCTTGGTCTGGCAGTACTCCCGATAGTCTTCATCAATTACTTCAACTCCTGCTTTTTCTTGGGCATGCTGGGCTGCTTCTGCAGACTGACTGACTTCTGCTAAGTCAGGTTTCACCACATGAAAATTCTGGGAAACCTGTGTGTCTGAAGTCTGGTACGGTGCGTTCCTGATGATTTCAAGCTTGATTGTATCAGCATGGCAGCGGGAAGTCTGCACATGTATTTTCACCTTAAAAGCAATACAAAAATTATTATTTCTGATGGTGCTATTTCCTTTTACTTCCTTCAGATTAAATACTCACTGTAATATGATCAAAAAGGCTTAATGTAACTGATTCTCCAGTAGTTGTAGTGGAAGTAATTTTGTTTTGAAAGCGATGAAGTGATCCAGGCTTCCACTTACACCTCTGATCACCTTGACAATAGATGACTAAGCCTTCTTTGTTTTTCATGTATGCAGGACCTTTGATTCCGTATCTACAAAAAAAGCAGACAGAAACTGTTCTAACAATTTTCACCCTTAGCAGTTCTTTTAATTTTGAAACGAAGAGAAGGCTAGCTAGGATTACAGAAAAGCAATGTAAAGGGGCAAGCACTGTAGCCTCATAATCCTGCTTAAGGGACGCTGATGGGCATTGTTGAAGAAACCCCTAGAGTACCTGAAAACAGCATGAAGACAGTGACTGAAGTGTTTTGAAAGCAGCGAAGCAAAAGTAAATTACAGTCAGTGATCCATTGTCTTAGGTGTTGGGTGGAGCCTGGTATGGCTGGATGATGGAAGGAGAGCAGCATTACAGGTTATTCCAGACAGCATGGTGAGGAAACAGTTCTCCATTAAAAAAAAGTTACTTAAAGACCAGCAGTGTACTTGCACTGCGTTCTCTGGAAGGAGGCCTTTCTTGCTTGGGTAGGTTCTGGCCCTTCAGCCTCCAAGCCACACCATCTGGAATGCTGGAGACAACAGGCCTATATCAAGCTAGTTTATATCCAAGCTCAGTCTGCGGCCAGGCTTAAGCAGGCCCTGACTGTATCATGACATCCAGGGTATTCATGTAATGGTTTGCTTTACCTAACATCCCTGTAGCATGTTTTTTGTTTTTTGTTGTTTTTTGTTTGGTTTTTTTTTGTTTTTTTTTTTTAAGAAGAGTTCTTATGCCTACATTTCTCATACCTGTTAGCTAGCCAGGTAGACAGTGTTATTGCCAATAATGCACAAACACGTAGATCATTAACTAATCCAAAATGTCCAGGAAGAGGAAAGGTAGTTCTCTCCCCCACAGCTTGAAGAGCTGGCCAAGTCTTACGAAAGGCAGTGCTCTCCAGTTCTACGCGGACTAATGCCGCCTTACATCATTCACTAGTCTATAACATTAGCAGAACACATTTAGTATACTTTAAAATACAGATTTAAAAGCTCAGAAATTAAAATGTCGTGTTAGCTTCATGCAAACAGTTGCTTTCTACTAGCATTAATCAGAGCTGAGCTGAGATACAGGCACTTGGAAGAGCCTAACTGCCACAAACAGCACCATGTAAACCCTCCTACATTTCCCTGCTGCCTACGAGGAGTGGCTGCTCAAAAGGTGCTCCTAGCCTGCATAAACTACAGTCGGTAGTGAAGGACAAGAGTGCTGAGGAATGCATGGCTTTGTGATTTGCAAAATCACTTTCTATTGTTTTTAAAAAGAGGGGGGGGGGAACAGAAATATTCCAGTAATTGTTCTCCCCTAGCAGCTGCTTGGGCAAAAAACCATCCTTTTAATGTTTTGAAATAAATACATACTGTGCAGCAGAGTCTTACCGTTTCCTCACAGGAACTCCTTTTCAGAGTGAATGCATAGAAAAGCACTGCTATGATTTACAACAAAAAACTAAAATGTAGTCATTGGTCAACACCAGGCCACACTATAAACACTTTCTCAAGGACCAGAGGTGTCCTCACAGCATTCTAGTAACACTTAGGTCTTATATTTAAGCTCAGTCCAAGCTCTCATCAACTCACCTTGGTACAAAAACAAGCACACCATTTGTTCGAATTGAGTAAATAACACCATCTGCTATGCAGCGCTCCTCTGTTTCTGTGGTTGTGTCTTTGAAGTACATGCACCGGAAGAGTTTAGTAGACTGTTTCTGAGCACGCTGTGCTGCCTGCAAGCACACCCCACAAAAAGAGAAGACAAAACCACCTAAATAAATATTTCAACAACCTTGTTTGGCTTTGATTTCCATAGTTTCTTTTTCCCATTATTAACTCCCTTACCCGTCCCCTAGAGAAATTACACCTAAAAGGAAATTCTACATGTAGTACAGATGAAGTGTGAAGTCAATTTTGCTACCACTCTTAGAAGAAAACTGTATTTAAGTAAAAAAACCCAAAAGCATTATAAATAAAAACGAGTGATGCTATGTTGTCATAGTACCCAAAAGCCGCAGTCAGGACTGGTATCCCCTTCCACAGGGCAGCATACAAACATAAGGAGACACATACAATGACTGTCATACCTGTTTTCTGTTATTAATATGTCTGCACAATTCCTGAAGATCCTTATTGCTGAATACATAATCCTTAACATCTCTTTTAGTTTCATTCAGTGTTGCTGCCGTCAGGAGTCTGTGGACAACAATATCAGCGTATCTTCTAATTGGAGAAGTGAAATGAGTGTACTTTTCTAAGGCAAGTCCTACAAATAAAAAAGGAAGTGGTAAGCAATCAAAGCAATCGACTGCCTCCCACCCAACAGTTCAGAAGGAGTAACAAGAACAGCATAAAAAATAAAGTGAAAAGATACCATAATGATGAAACTCTTCCTCGGGACAAGAGCCAGTTGAGAAGTACAATGCATTAGACATTGCTTGAGTAGCCATAGATCGCAACAGTTTATTTACAATTGGATCCAATGGGTCATTTGCTTTATCGAGAGACTCAGCCAATGTTTTGTTAGACCTGTCAAAAAAGTGGTAATTCTGAAGATAATTATGCTATCCCTGATCACAATAGCTTATAGTTAAAAATAGCATACAAAAGCACAAAAAAATTGATTAATAGTTATTAATATAAAAATGCGAATGACAAGCAGAACAATCTTAAAACTTTCAACACAGTTTACTAACAGCTCTGCTCTAGAAAAATGTTTAGAAAAAAAACCAGTTTTCACTAACAGGCCTGTCTTCTGCAACCTGGAGAACCAAGAAGGACTGGAGAAAAACCCCAGTCTATACTGTGCAAAACAGACGGTGAGCTGGTCCAAAGCCTGCTCTGTACAGGAGAGCACAAATGGGACAAGGTGACATCCAAGTAAAAGGAGGGACTACTGATGCCTGTCACACTCTGTGATGTCCAGAAATGATGCCCCCCAATATGATGAAGCTCACAGCCTTCTTGACAAAGAAGAACAGTATCTTGACAAAGTAATTCGGAATTATTTTGAGTCATTTTAAATGACTATATTGCACAGAATTAGATTTAAACAAGTACTCTCTTACATGACTATTACAGGAAATACGGTGCCAACAAGGCCATTGCAGAGCTCAACCGCTACACACTGACTGAACAAATTCTTTTTCGTTATGTCTAAAATTATTCAGACACTGCCACTTTCAGCACAGCCAGCAGAATGCAGGCAGCCTCTCTTTGTTTAGAACATCACCTCCAGCTCACAGCAAGGTTATGGTAAATGTTTTTTTAAGAACTGCTATGCAGGTCTATTAACATTGATACTGAGAACTGTAATGCTTTGTGACAATAACGTAGCCAAATAGTTAATGGCTTAACTTTAATTAAAGTGCTTAAGATAAGTAATAAAAGATACCGTGTGTCTATTGAGAAACCTTTGGCACTGGCACATTCTCGAAGTCTAGTAAAAAATTCCTGTCGTGGTGGAGGGTGTTGACGCAACAAAGCTTGATGAGGAAAATGTTCAGAAATCTTCTTTGCCACCCAGTGGTTGGCAAGAATCATACATTCTGCTACGGTGTCCTGCACCTCCAGCGGCTGCTTGGGGATGAGACCATAGATTTTTTGTTTATCATCCAGTTGCACTTGGATTTCTACCCCTTCTAGTTCCAAAGCACCACAGCTGTCCCGCTTAGCTCTGAGGTGTCGTGCTATATCAGTGAGTTTT